TTCTCATCACTTATATTTTGAAGCACAAAGGTTTTGAGTTCGCTCATGATGAGATGACTAGTGATACTCCTTTTGGCGAATCCGAGTGGAAACCGTCACCCGTGTTTAGAATGTTGATGATGACTCCAGTGAAAATGATGCTAATGTTGTTGGTCCTACCCAGAACCGTCCGACTTCCTATAGAGGCAGGGTTTCGTTGCCGATGTTATACGATGCTATGCAAGGACTCCAAACCTCCTTTGACCACATGCAGATTCAACAGGCTATCCATGGTTATAATTTGAACAAATTGTTGGTCAAGTCGGGAGAGCATTGGGAGGTTCCACCGATGGATGCTTTGGGACCATATATGTATCACGGGTCATCATCTTCTCAGGATGCTGCTACTCATAGAGAGCCTTCGGGTCTTGATGATGATGATGATGATAATGATGATGAGATGGATGCGGAATGAGTGGATGGGGCACTCATGTTCTTTTCTAAGCTATTTATCTAACATTTTCTCTTTTGCCTTTGTTAAATTCGACTTTTCTATCTCCCATTACTACTTGTGTTTTGATAAACTCAACATTTTTTGTTCTTCACCCTTTTTGCTTATGACAAAAGGGGGAAGAGTATGTGCTTGTGCTTGTTATAGTGCAATCATTAAGGGGGAAGTAAGGAAAGTACTCTAAACTCTTTCTTTAAACTCTTTGCTTGTATTATCTTGTGTGCTCTTGTTATATTTGTTTATTTGGAATCAAGCCCAAGCATTTGCTAAGTTGGGTTTGTCATTATCAAAAAGGGGGAAATTGTTGACCCTTGTGTTTTGATAATAACAACTATCTCATGGGCTTGGCACTTTGGATGTTGATCTTCACAATCATGCACTAGATCTCAAGACAAGTGTGAAGATATAGTGTTTTTGGTCTTCGTTTAGGTCTTAGCATTGGTTAAAGTGTATGGCACGTTAGTTGTTTTTCCCTCCTTGAAAATATTTTCCAAAAACCCTTCAAATTGTGGTTTCGCAGTGCACTATTCGAATAACCCTTGTTTTATTCGAATAAGTTAGAGTCCTCAACTCTGTCCTATTCGAATAGTTAGCAAATTATTTGAATAAGCCCTGAAGCTCATTTCATCAACTCTCCTTATTTTTACAGGTAGGGGTCAAGGATTTGATGAGGAACAACCTAGAGGATAGTGAGACGTGGTGCTGGTGGATGGCCCAAAGCTGTTTTGTTTTAATTTAAATGTTCCATTGAATTTGTTTATTTAAAGTATAAGAATGTTGAATGTTTCTAAAGGCTTCCGCTACATTTGGGTTTGTTTACTCCGATTAAACTATGATTTGTTTTTAAATAGATATGAATGAATGTTTTGTTTTTAAATGTTTTTAAAACATTGTGCATGTGAATACCAATTAGTAGCAACCCGATTTACTAACTTGTTAGTTTGGGTTATGCGAGTTGGGGTGTTATACAATGGTCCATGTACCATTTCTTTCATGGGCATCAATCTCCTCTTGCATAAGAAATATATGTGCTCAAAGGATATCTATAACCACCATCTAGAGCATTCTACGCAGCATAGGTAATAAAATCAAAGAGACGAATGTTGGGAGCTCTAACACGTTGTCCCCGCCTGAGTTGAATTTCGGAACAACTACCGGCGTCGATGACTCCAGGACCTCGGCTTCAGGAAGACCATCTTGTCAGGCTCCGTTGGGGTCACAACTTGCTTCGGAGACAGTTTTTGTAGTGGGTACTAGAGTCACAATTTGATTTTATATATAGTCATAAAAACTAATTTGAAGCATCTTTTTGAATTGTTAGAACAATTACTTATTACAAAATCTTTATTAAGTAAATAAGATATCAATCAAAATAAAGTATCAATGTATAAAACCAAATATAAAAGGTAAAATTTTTATATTTAAATCTTTTAGGTCCAATAAGATCATTAGAATCATTTAATCCAACCAATTTGGACCTAAATAATTTTAGATTTGGACTAACTTAGACCGAAACCAAATGCTTTTTTTGCACGGAAGATCAATTAAGCTATTTGTACACTAGAATTTGTATCCCATTTTAAACCTCAAAAGCATGCACCGATATTTTGTGCTAGTGTGATGTTGGTGTGATGATTTACATTAACAAAAAAATCAGTCCAATTTTTTTTAATTGAACTAACTTATTTTGTTGTGACCTGTTAAAATATCGGTGCATTTTCTTGAGTACAACTTAGGCAAAAAATTGTTGTCGGGTACCCCTAGTTTTGGGATAAGAACTCGCAGGTCCCATTATTTTTCAAAATATACTCCGAGGTACCTTGAAATATTCAAAAAATCACTACGGGGTGACAATCCGTCAATCTCTCCCTCAAATCTGATTTTCCATTATCTTTTTCATTATCATCGCCACCATCTTTCCATTTGCTTCTTCTTCTTTTGTCTTCTTCTCCAGCCACCCACCCCTTTGTTTTTCTTCTTTACTTTTTTTTGTTTTGAAATCTACGCCATCTTATCCCCTTTTTTGCTTCTTCATTTTTCTTTTCTTCTATTACTATTATATTATTATTTGTTATTATTATTATCATTATTTATTATTATTATTATTATTATTATTATTTAATTCGTAGTTTTACCACTTCAATTGTATTAATAATAATATGTGTTATTTTTTTAATAATAAGTGCTATTTTTCTAACTAACAATTAGTGTTATAAATTTATTATTAAGTATTATTATTATTATTATTGTTAAAAAATTGATTAGTAGTTTTACTACTCTATTTTTTAGAAGAATTGCAGTACTTATTATTATTACTTGATATTACTTATTATTTTCTTCTTATTTTATTATTATTGTTAATCATTATGTTTATTTATTATTTATTATTATTAATAATATTATTCAAAATTAATTTTTTTACTTCTTTTTCTTTGAAAAAATAACACTAATTTTTATTTAGTAAAATAGCACCTATTATTAAAAACATAAAACTTATTATTATTAATACTATTATAAAGAAATAATTAGTAATTTTACTACCGTTAATTTTTATAAAAATAAAATTACTTATTATTTTTAATTCGTATTAATCATTATTCATTTCTTATAATTTTGTTCTTCTTCTATACTATTATTATTTATTTATTATTATTTTTATTATTATTAAAAATTAGTTAGTTGTTTTATTAATCCATTTTTAAGAAAAAACACTAATTATTATTTAGAAAAAACATTTATTATTTAAAACAACACTTACTATTGGCTTTTCAAAAAAAATTATTAGTAGTTTTCACAACTCTAGTTTTGCAGCCAACTAATGTTGTCTTCCGCATTATCGCGCATTAGTCATCGACAGTCACCATTAATAGTGGTGAATAGGGCTGTTCATCGGTCTGGGACCGGACCGAACCGGACCAAACCGAAGACCGATTTGTAAAAAAGTAAAGACCGAAGACCGGACCTATAAGCATTCGATTTTAGACCGAACCGGACCGAAATGAATAGGACCGAACCGATAAGACCTAAAAGACCAAAATTGCATTAGCATTCTAGGCTAACACACTGTAATGCTGTAAAAAAGGGCAATAGAACCAACCAAGAAACGAATAGAGTGAACTTCAAATAGCAGTACTTTACAGAGACAATAGCCCATTTAAACAACCAACCTTAACATTTAGCAATAAAATTGAAAAATTAAAAAAATGGAATAAAAATCCTAATGTTATAGAAGAGCAAATTCTGAAATTAGAAGTGAAATAGGGATATCGAAATGTCATGCACTTGTGTTGCCACTAGCCAGTAATTGAGAGCCCGTCTAGAATTTGTGCGAATCTAACTTCGATTCCGACTAAGGAACAAAGGGTGGGTGGATATTTGGTTCATAGTAATGGGAAGAGATTGAATTGGTGTCTAGGATCCAAAAGTGCATCATCGGGTGATACATAGAAATGGAAATTCAGCTCACTTTAGGAAGTGATGCAGTGCTCCACCCTGAGATCGCCAGTAAATAACTCAGATTGTGTGGATGCGGGATGAGAATGGAAACTCCTCGAGGATATGCAGAGAAGAAGATAGATTTGGGTAGATGAGAGCTTAGTGGTGACCGAATAGACTTTTTAGTACAATCGATCTTTCGGTCCAGACCTAAATAATATTGGGTTTGGACCGGACCGGACCGAGACCTAAATCTTTAAAAATCCAGGACCTAGACCGACCCTAAATGCTTTCGGTCCGGGTTCGGTCTGGACCTATAGGTCCGGTTCGGTCTATTTTTTCGGTCTAGACCTAATGATGAACACCCCTAGTGGTGAATCTAGAAAATGAGAGGACATGGGGCTATAATAGGACGAGTAAGCATCTCTGGATTTTTCTAAAAATATTATGATGAGACGGTAAAAAATAGTGTTGAATTAAATATTATTATTATGAATTACGGCATATAATTTATAACCAAGTTGATAAATAATCTTAATTTTATAAATTATACGGAGTACATAACTTTTTTTATGCAACTGAATATTAGAAAAGGTTAATGGGGGCATACAAACAATTTTTTAGGGGCCTTAGTGCTATTTTGCTAAAACATTAGAGGAGTAAAACTACTAGTTAAATTTAATAATAAAACATAAATAAAGATAATAATAATAATAACAAATAATAAAATAATAATAATAATTGAAAAAAAGAAAATGAAGAAGCAAAAAAGGGGATGACGTATAACTCAAAACAAAACCAAAAAAAAAGAAAAGGGGATGGATGGGGGGTTAGAGAAGAAGACGAAATGTGAAAAAGAAGATGGAAAGACTTTTTGAAAGCTGTGGCGATGATGATGAAAAAGATAACGGCATATTGAATTTGACGGAGAGGTTGACGAATTGTCACTTCGAAGTGACTTTTTGAATATTTTAAAGTACCTCGAAGTATATTTTGAAAAATAATGGGACGAGTGAGTTCTTATTAATTTTTTGAGACTTGGGGTACCAAAATTCATTCTGTCCCAATTCTATCTCCACCTCGCGGTCCAATTCGGGTTCAGCCTGGACAAACTTGAACAACCCTAGTCGTAGTCCGAGAACGCCTCTCTACTCATCTCTCTGTCGCCGATCTAATCTCTTTTCTCCCAGTCGTCGTTCCCTTCTCACTAGTCGCGACCATTCTGTGTCGCCGCCGGCGGGATCTCGTCTTTCTTCTTAAGTCGCCGGGAACTTTGAGAAGATTCGCGAGCATCACTCCGCGCCTCGTCTATTTCGCCTTCAGCTCTCTAAGATTTGCTCGGAACCCGGTATTTCTCATCTAACGTACTATATAAATATGCTCCTGACTAAAATCTCCTCCGCCATTATGATTGATTAAACTCTCGTAAGGCGCTTGGATGGAAATTTTGAGCTACTTTGTGTATTGGTCTTCAGATATCAAATAAGGTCACTCACACGTTGTCGTTTGCTGTCATTATTATGAATTGTTTAGAAAATAAGGTTTTGATTTTCAATTTATAGATTCTGGTGAGGATTTTATTTATTTTTGTTTCAATTTGAGCCCTAGTGAAGAATCCTTCTAGCTTTTACCGTGTTCTTAAATTTTTATTAAAAATAGTCGAATATTTTCTTTTTTATTGTTGTATTGGCCATTGGGGGGCTTAATTCTAGTTGGTTTTTTGTTTGTTTTAGGTTTCAAGTTCAGTGAGTTGCAAAGGTTCAAGGCGTCTAAGAGTGTAGTCATCCTTGTGATTCTCCAAAATTGTTTGTTTCTTGAGAAGGTATATTCCACTATTTATTGTCTTATATATGTGTTATACTCCATCCCATATTTAAGTTTCCATTTGCTTTTTCACGGAGAGAAAATGTGAACTAGTGTGGTTCAGTGGTTGAGATTTGTGTTTAGGGGAGGAACATCATAAAGTTTAATCAATGTTCGAAAAGGCGTATTGCGGTTTTGAGGCGTTTTCATTTCATGGCATAAGGCGTAAGCCTTGAGGCGTAAGCCTCAATTTTTAAATTGAAAAACATTCACAAAACAATTTAAAACAAAAAAAAAATAACATAAATAATCCAATAACATGAAAAAAGCATATTGTCAAAGTAATACATCGCAAACATAACAAAGTCTAACATGGAATCAGACATAATATTGCTCGAAGTGATGAGCTTAAATTGAAGAATTGAAAAAAAGATCATCAGTGTCCAACGGCTTGAAATATCAATCATAAACTCATAAAAAACATCAATTGAATGTTACTCTACTTCACAAAAAGATAACAAAAAAAAGAAAAAGAAAAAACAGCAACTTGACAATTATAAAAAGATAAAAAGCATGGACAGGCAGTAAAAAGCAATAAAGCACCACCCACCACCCATCATCATCCATTATCCATCAACGCAAGTGGAAAGAAAAAGAAGACGCAGAGATTACCTTCGCCAAAGAAAGAAGGTTGAAGCCGCTGGACTGCTGGAGACGCTTCGTGGGTTGCAGAAAGGCAATCGACAAAAAAATTAGGGTAATCGACACTAGACAAAGGTAATTTTAACATATATACACTTAATTGGGTTAATTAATTGGAGTAATTGACAACTTTAACCTTTAATATCCAAAATATTAATTGTTTAATTTTCTAAATTCTTATCGCTGAATTGCGTAAGCCTCAATGCGCGCACCGGCGCGTACGCCCCATGGCGTACGCCTTTCAAAGAATTGCGTAAAAAAGCCTATCGCGTAAAATCGGGATTAGCACCGGTGCGGAATTTCGGAAAAAAGCTTCGAGGCGCGCCTTGAGGCGGGTTTGCGTTCCGCCTTTTCGAACATTGAGTTTAATTAGGGACACCTATCAAAGTAAAGTGAAAAAAATGGGACAAAGGGAGTATGTGTGGACTCATGTGTACGCAAAATGTATTGAACAAAACAGTAAGTAAATGTGTGTGTGTGTATGAATATTTGCATTATTGATTTATTAACATTAGGAAATGTTTTAATATTTTAGTGTGCTTTATATTATTTAGTACATTAGAATCCATTTGTACTATTATTTGTGCCTTGTTTAGTTGAGCATGAATTTAATGAAAATGAAAAGTATTTGTTCGAAACTAGTTTAGAATAGAGATAAATTAACTAAATCACATTTCGTTCTCCTTCAAAGGAAGATGCATTAGTTTTGGGACATACAAAAATTGAACCCTAAGGTTTATTTAGGGCTTGTTTTGTGAGCAAAGCAGGGTTGGAAGTCAGCACTACCTTTGATCATGGTAGTCAAACTCTAGATTCTACGTAGGATCGATAGGCTTAATGAAGATCGTAGCATCGTAAGATCGTGGCTCGGATCGTAAGATCCTAGTATATGTGTGTGTGTGTGTGTGTATATATAACTTTAATAAAACATAACATAAGTTGAAGTTGGGCTTGGGCTTTTCAAAAGCGACAAAATCGAAGTCGAGAAACTTGGTCTATTCAAACCTGGAAGTCCGCTTCAAAGTTGGAAGTTGCGAGATTGAAATTGGGAGTCGCAATTGGAATTGGGAGTCGCAGCAGATGCTGCTTTGGTCTTTGGGAGTCGCGACAGACGCGATTGGAATTTGGATTTGCAGCGACAATGCGATTTGGTCTTTGGGCTTTTCACAATCGCCAATCTCCTGCGATTGTGCAATTGCACGATCCGGATCGACGATCCGACCGACCCGATGAATTTTCGCGATTCTGAAGGCGAGTTGGATCGGAAAGGTGCTGGCGATCTCTGGACTCGTAGAATCGTACGAGTCAGATCGCGATCTTGACTACCATGCCTTTGATCATTGCTGGAATAACCTACGAGGCTACGTCCATATTCTTGAAAATGAAAATGACAAGTGGGATATTAGAAATATGTGTTGCTATATATTATTCAAAACTAGAAAATAAAAATAGAAAAATATTTAGCATAAAGTTGCAAATTAGAAAGAAAACGGAAAACAGAAGTAAATACTCTAAGTAGCTCCAAATATTTCCAAGTATAAGAAACTATTTAAATTAAACTTGAGTAGAAGACTAGTTGCAATGAGTGCTTCAATTCGAGAAAGAATTCAGCACTCTAGTAGAATAGTAGAGAGGAAAGCATTCGGGTAGAGGAGAAAAGAAAGCAGTTAAGTAGAGAATAACATATTAAGCTCTGAGATTTTCTTTTAAAGCATCTTTATACTTGATGAGAAGAATTAGTCCCGTTGAGCTAAACCATGTCACAAAAATGCCAAATTTCCATGGCATCAAAGGTGTAAGCCTCATATGCCTTGAAGCATAAGCATCACAACAGAGAGATATTAGCATTTCTCGGAAATAATAGAGCATAGCCTCAAAAAGAATATTCTCTATACCACTTCCTCGAGATGAGCCTTAAAGCTTAATCCTTAGCACTCTAACTATGGTGAAACTACAAACATTGATTTTTGTGCTTTCACAACATTTTATACAAAAGTGATTTTTGTGCTTTGCACTTTTCTCAAATTGTACTATGTTGCTTGGGTACACTTTTTGCTCTTAAAGAAGGAACTATGTTTTAGAATCTGTTACAATTTGTACAATGGGTGTATTTGAGAAACTGCCGTTAGTATATTAGCAAGTTTGACTAGCACTTACAGTTTGTAAAGAGATCTTTGTGAACTCATTGGTGCATAAGTTTTTTCTATTTTAGTGTACTGTTGTTGAGAATGGTTTTTATATGCTTTGGAGTTGCTCATGTACCAGTGCATTCACAGAATGTGCACTATTTCACTGCAGGAAGGTTTCAGTTACAGGTTCCGACATTAGTTTTGGAACTGGACTTTTTTTAATGAGTGGGATGGTATATTGATTACCAAAGCCCATTTTTCTGTCCATTGATGTCCACTTATATTCTTTACTATTTTCATTTCGGATGCCTGGATTTGTTGCTAATTAACATTCCTTCCAAAATCAAAGCACCTATTCATCTTTTTTCTTTTCCTTTTCTTTGTTTTTGTGAATACATTGGCCCTAGCCGTTATACTGACCTTCCAGGCATCAATATGTATTTCAGTACATCAACATCTCAAGAAATTCATGATTCTATTTCTGCACCTGCTGAAAGATGTCACTCTCTTTTATTCATTCATTCAGCATTCTCTCTTAATTGCCTTTGTATCTTGTTGTATTTGTTAACCCTTTATTTAGTTGAACTGATCACATTCAAATTTCATATCTCATGGAGGGCATTCATTTGACATTCTTGCGCTTGGAACCCACTTGGTCTTATTTTTGTTTCCGCCTTTCCACAATTTTCTCCTTTTTTATTCCCAATTCTTCTGGGTTCTGTGCTTCCATCAAAGCTGCTGGACAAACTTTTCTTTCTAGATATATAAGATGCCAAGGACAAGAGCGAGTGCTGCAGCTCCTGTTTTAAGGGAACCTGAAAAGATAGTTGAGCCTGAAGAGCAGATTGACTTCGATGAAGACAATGAAGATGTGGAGGAAGAAGAGGTTGAATATGAAGAGGTGGAAGAAGAGGTGGAAGAAGAGGTAGAAGAAGAGGAAGAAGAAGATGAGGAAGATGAAGAAGAGGAAAATGATGGCTGTAGACTAATAGATTCAGATGATGTGGCAATGAATGCTGATTCTGAAGTTTTAGAAAATGATGATGATGACAAGCGTACTGAGCTTCTTTCGCTTCCACCTCACGGTTCAGAAGTTTACCTAGGTGGCATCAATCAAGATGTTTCTGAAGAGGATGTGAAGCAATTTTGCAACTCAGCAGGTGAAGTTGTTGAGGTAATTTTCCAATTTACTACATGTCTACATCTGATATCTTATTTTTCAAATCTACAGTGTTCTTGTGTTTGGGATTACAGGTAAGGATAATGAAGGGAAAGGAGTCGAATCAGAACAAGGGTTATGCTTTTGTCACTTATAGAACAAAAGAATTGGCTTCCAAGGCAATCAAGGAACTAAATAATACTGAACTAAAGGTGTGTGGATTGTGTTTTCTCTTTCACCGTATCCACACAACTTTTATCAGTTATTTTTGAAGTAAGCTGCAGAGACTTTGCTGTGAACTGTTACATTCTTGCAAACCCAACACCCTCAAGTAATGATTCTCAGAAGTCTTTTCTCACTTTGTTAGTAATTTTATCCTTTATCAGGGAAGAAAGGTAAAGTGCTCTGCTGCTCAAGCAAAGAATAGGCTATTCATTGGTAATGTTCCTAGACACTGGGCAGTGGAAGATCTGAAAAGGGTAGCAAACAAGACTGGGCCTGGTGTCGTTGATGTGGAATTGGTCAAGGTAGGCATGCACTTGTCTTGTTGTCACATAGTGTACTACTTCCCTTTGATAATCTTAAGGCATGCTCTGCTTAATGTGTGAATGGTGTGGTATATACTTCCATTTGAAATCATTTTCCTTATTCTTATGCTAAATCTTCACTAGTGCAGGATCCACATATCTCGAACCGGAATCGTGGATTTGCTTTCATTGAGTATTACAATAATGCATGTGCAGAGTATTCACGACAGAGAATGTCTGGCCCAAATTTTAAGCTTGACGATAATGCCCCAACTGTGAGCTGGGCTGACCCAAAAAGCGCAGATTCATCTGCTACTTCTCAGGTTCTCAAATGAAATATTCTGAGTCAACATTTTCCATCTTTCTTTCTCTCTCACACATGTATTCTAAAATTTAAATCCGTTTTTAGTTCTTTTTGAAATAGCTAACGTACATTGATGTTTCATGCTCATACAATGTTTGTTTGGTTGGGAGCTTTTGTAGTAGAGGGGAGAATTGGGTTATCTTTGACTGAATTATCTCTATATGTTAGTCTTAGTATAATGAATAGATAAAACTTTAGCTAAATCATGTGCTCCTTTTGTACCTAAATAATTTGAATGTTGTGGGTTACGATGGTTGCTTGAATTTATTTTCAGTTCAATTTATATGAAGGTTGATGTAAAATTTTAAAAACAAAATTTATATATTTAAAAACCCCAGAAGGTCTACGAATCAAGAGCAGACATCAATATTTTATTTTATCAAATCAGTAATGAAATTAAGGAAATAGACTGATTAAACTCTGACCCTGGAATAGTGAGTGTGGAAATTAATTGGGGATGGAGGGAGTATTTTCTATATATTTTAATGACATCATAATTTAGTTCCCACTTTTTTTTCTAACCATCTAATTTAAGAATATAATAATAAAATAACTATTATCTTTCCCTTTCAAAATCCCTAAGCTAAACAAACACAGAATGATCCAGTTTGCAACCTGAGTACCTGACTAAACTGTTGTCATCTAGAATGCTTTATATTTACCCTCAAATATAAGTAGTAATTGTTATATGATTCGTTCATTTGGTTACTATGTATCCTTGACATATTAATTTCATTTTCTGGATTTTTTTTCAAAAAGTTCAACAGTGAACTTTCTAATTAAGAAAACTCTTAGTTTGACTAAGTGGTGAAGACCATACTCTTTTAGGTGTGGTCAAGCTGTGTATGACCAGAGAAACTTTACATTGTTATGCTCCAGGTTAAAGCTGTATATGTGAAGAACTTGCCCAAAACAATCACTCAGGATCAGCTGAAAAGTTTATTCCAACACCATGGGAAGATTACTAAAGTTGTTCTACCTCCTGCTAAAGCTGGGCAGGAACAAAGCAGATATGGTTTTGTCCACTTTGCTGAAAGATCCAGTGCCATGAAGGCTTTGAAGAACACAGAGAAATATGAAATTGACGGTGATTGTTGATTAAGTTTTCATGTCATCATTTTGTCCTCAATCAAAACATTATAATAAGTACTCTCTCTGTCCCATATATTTCTTCCTCATTTGACTTTGCACTGATATTAATGTAAACAACGTATCTAGTTTCGTGTGGGGGTAAGGTCTACGTACACACACCCTCTCTAGACCCTACTTTTTATGAGATTTTTACTGAATTGTTGACTTGGTGCGGATATTAATGTAAAACAAAAAAATCTCTTGACCTTCCAATTTTGCCTTTGATTTGATGGCTGAACGAGATATCGTGAGCAAAGATTTGAGTTTGAAAAAGTCAATTTGGTCTTACTTATTTGCAAATACGGAAAGAGGAAGAAAGGTATGGGTCGGCCAAAAAAAGAAAAGAAAAGTGCAAGAAATATATGAAACATAGGGAGTAATTTTGTTTGTTTTTTTTGCATGATGTCCAATCCCAATCTCATAGGCAAAGTTCTGGAATGCTCACTTGCAAAGCCACAGGCTGATCAGAGCAGTGGATCAATTTCAAAGAGAGAAGTCGCTCCTCCATCCTACCCACCCCGTATGGGATACGGCATGGTTGGAACTCCTTATGGTGCCGTAGGTGCTGGAATTGGTCAGGTATAGTTTGGGAATCGGTCAGGATATACAAACTTATGAAAGCTTGGCCAAGTAGTTTTCAAAGTGGTCCATTTTGCCTCATGTACTTTTTTTATTCTGTCATGCGAAGTACTTGTTTTTAATCAGAATCTTGAGATGGTGCCATTAGCTTCTCATCCAAAAAATTAATGTTTTGTTTATTTTCCGTTCCCCTTGGGTTCATCTGCTTTAAACTATTGAGATTTAATTCGACATTTGGCTAAAATGAGGGCCAAATCTGCTGGATTTTTCTGAAATGAAAAGCTAGAATTTATTTCAGCTAAATAAGTTTATAGTTGCTTCTTGTTGAGCACAATAATGCTTTCAAATGAGGCCCTTGTATGTGTGTTTGTCTGTCTTCATTCATCGTTTATAGTGATGATCCTTTTGCAGTCATTACTTTATGGAGGAGCAGCACCTCCTGGTGTGGCAATGATGCCATTGCTTTTGCCGGATGGTAGGATCGGATACGTCTTGTAAGTGTTTTTTTCTTTCAATATTAGTACGGAGTAATAATTTATACGGAATATGCTCTTAAACGGGAGACAGCCCAATGCTTTAATATTGTTTTTGGAAACATTTAATTCTGAAACCGTTATGGAATGAATGGATGTCAGGCAACAGCCAGGAGTTGTGCACACACCACCACCTGCACCACGAACCAGCTTCGGTAACAGCGGACGAAATTCAAGTGGAGGAAGGCGAAACAGCGGTGGGGACAGTGGTCGTGCCCGAAGCCGATATAATCCTTACTAAGTGAAACGCCATGGGCGTTGATTTGTAC